AATGTAGGATGAGATGAAACTAAGGTGAGTAATTCAAAAAGTCTCGTAGGTTTTTTAAAGAGGAAAAATTTTTGATATTTCTCAAGGATATTTTTGTCTTAGTACATGTCTAAATATAATTCTATGAATTTTGATTATAATAAATTTAATAAATAATAATTAAATCTTATATAATTACTTTAGGAATAATCTATCAATATTTTTATAAATTGCTTATTTCTTTTAAGAAATTAAAAATAATGAATATTTTATTGATATTATAATAATTTGGAAATTATAATTAAAACAAAATTTTTTTTTCGATCCAGCGAAAAAATCAAATGATCAAACATTTTTCTTTTTTCCATATTTTTTATATCATAGAAAATACAAACGATAATCGAGGAAATTTAAATATATTAAATCCATAAAAATAAAATATGAATCTTTTTATTTTTTTAACTTTTGAAAACACGTACGACACGTATTATATAAGATCGACATAAAGGACATTCAGATAATTGTTTACCACAACGTATACATGTACATAAATGACCACAATTAAGAAATACACAGTCGATATTCGCATCCATACATATTTTGCATAGATTTTCATCTGATTGTTCATTAGTAACTTAAATAAAATGAATAAATAAATAAATAGATAATATATTTTAGAAAATAAATCATTTTTACTATTTATATTTGATTCTTTTTGTTTTTGATGATCTCGATAAAGTAATTCAACTTTATTAATTAAATCTTTTTTTTCAACACATCCATTTGTTGATACAAAATTTTGTATTAGAATATCTTTTAATTGTCGAATTGTTAAATTATTTATTGATTCTAATGATAATATATCATTAAGAGCTATACGATTAGAATTTATATTCGGAGGAGAATATTCAATAGGACCTTTCGATTCCGATTCATTTGTTGAAATTGAAGAACTAACATTTAATGATGATCTTTCAATAGAAGTTTCCGTTTCTGACTCATTTGTTGGAAGTGAAGAATTAATATTTGATGATAATGTCTAGAAATAAATTAATATGTAAATTAACTTATGAAAAGAAAATAAATAAATAATCAAGCTAAGATTTCCATGAAAAACTCTTATGCAATAAAAGGATTATTAAATTTTCCAGATCAACCGATCGTATCTTTAACGAAGGACATTTTTATATTTTTGATATACCTCGTTTCTAGAGCTAATAACAGAAAGAACTACTAATTTCATCTTTGTTTTAATAAACTATTCAATGGAAAGAGTTATATTCAATGATTGTTACCTCGATTGAGATTAGTAATTCAACATCTCTATATATCAATCATATTTTATTCGATAAAATCAATAGTTAAAATAACATTGATCATAATCTCTAATCAAGTTTTGCGTTTTCATATTAAAAAACAAAAAGAAATAAAAGACAACATTTCCAACATATATTAACAACAAGTTTCAGAACAACAAACTCACATTGATCACCTTTTGACAATAACACACTCAAATAATCGACAACATAAAAACATAATGGCATTAATAAAAACATATTTCAAGGTGATCTGAAGTACTACAATTCTCTTCATCATCAATTTCTGATTGCTTGGGCGTAGTATATCTCGAAAACTTCTTACTAATTGTTTTTTTATTTTCACTGTGTAATAAATGAAAAAGAAATTTAAAATGAATCTTTTAATGATTCTTTATCCACTAGGTATGGTAAATTACTATTACTCGTAATAAGTAATAACTTATCGCTGGTAATTAATAATCATTTGCAAACGTAGTCAAAGTAATAAAGTTATAAACTATTAAAATTAGTAACTTAGAGAAGTAATATTCTTATTAATTTATTATCAGTAATAAAAATTCAACGATAATAACAGTAACTAGTAATAAAGTAGCAGGACACTAGCTTATAGTTCTTGAATAAAAATGAATGATAGCTCTATCATATTTTATAATAATCGAAATAAAGAGGATTAATATTAAAAAGTAATAAGTTACTAATAAAAATAATTACTAATTACTCAATAATACTAATAAAAAGTGACAATAGTGTAGCAACCCTATTATCAATTAGTGCATATTCAAAATTAAACAATAAAATATATTGGAGGTCAACAGTTTTCGATAAAAAGATTTCAGAGTTGGAGTCAGATTGCAGAATAAAAAATTCAGACTTCCCAGGTCTCTACTTTCGAGTCTCAAATATAGACTGTCGCCTTGCAACAATTAATAACATTCTAGAATCTTCTTTGAATTTCAAATGCCAATTAACACATAAAATTTCCCATGCGACTATTAAACGAAAATCAGAGTGAGTTATTTGGAGCTTATTAAAATCCAGAGTAATATTAATTGATATGACTTATGCTAACAAACACTTACAATGAAGGTGTTTGTATTGTTAGTTAAAAAGACTAGACATATTCGGATGAGTCTATGGTCTTTTTCATTTCAAACTCAATTTTGAAAAAAAATCAGCACCCCTTTTCACAATAACCGCGGGTCTTGCAGGTCTTTAGGATCATGATGATAATATCTATAGTATATACCCCCTATAAAAAAAAGGTATATAATATACATATCATCATCATAATTCTAAAGATCCGCATGTCCCGTATTTCAGTTTTAAATCGAGTGTTGTTTTTTCCTTCTAAATTCAGATTGAAATCAAAAGAACCATAGTGTATGATTCGGATCAAATTAAATCTTTCATTGAGAAACTACTTAATTTAAAATATCAGTTGCTTTTGGCGTGCACAAACTAAGATATTTGAATTTTAAGTTGTTTATAGTATATGTAAGCTGCTTGCAATTCATAACTTTAGTACAGATTTTTTCATGATGATTAGATAGAGCTCATCGAGATACATAAGACAAAAAATGTATTTTAAATTAAAAAAAAAGAAATTTTAAGAAAGACATCCAAGACATCATCATTTTCAAATAATATAAGAAAAAATGAAAATTCCATAGTTCGGTGTACTCTAAGGCTATGTGAATACTGTTCTTGAGAACTTTTTAGTAATTTCAGGTCTACTATCGGTCTTTGTTACAGCTTATTAGTCGGAGTTCAGTCTATGTAACCCTATCGGACAAAAAGAACGACAATTTGTTTTTTTTTTCTCAATTTATGCATCAGTGAATTTGTCCTGAAGAAAAAAAACCTATTTAGAACGAATAGATCAGATAATTTTAATTTAGTCAAATCTGATTTAGATAAAAGAAAAATTTTCTTTACCTGTTCATCTGTATTGACTGTTGATTGTTGATCATGATTAATATTTTCTGTTGTTGTATTATGATTTGATGTTTGAGTATTTGTTATTGTACGTCGTTCAACAAAAACATAATTTTGCTCATATATTTGATCTTTTTTTGATTGAATTAAATTAATTAAATCTTGTTTTTCAAAACAAGATTCAAGATGATTTAAAGAAACTTTGTTTGAATAAATAAGATAAGCACGAAGATGTTTTGTACGTATTGATGCTAATTGATCATTAGTTGTATGTTCATTTATAATTAATAAACACGTTGTACATGCACGTGAACAATTCACTCCAATAGAAGGTCCTGGTTTTTGAATACATTTTGAACAAAATATTTGTCCACATAAATTACATTGTTTCTAAAGTAATTCAATTTATTTATTTTTTTGGAAAACAAAAACATAATGAATTATTGTTTATTTTTCTGCTTCAAATAAACTTCTATGATATCTTATCTATTAAAATTGTTATATTATTTCATTTGTATTCGATGTTATTTTAACTTACTTTTCGTCGAAATAAAGTGTATTGTTGATGACATTGTTCACATAGAGATATTTGCTGAGACATATTAATTGAATTTGTTTTGATTACCACTTAGCGTGGACTATTACAGTACTCACTGACTACCTTTTTTTTTTCTTTTTGCTTGTCTTGACTATGATACGTTTAGTAAAAATAACAACGAAATAAAATAAGACAGTAAATATTAGAAGAACGGCAAAAAACATGCTCATACTTTATTGCTGTGTAGTTGTCGTCAAGCATATATTCGTGAATAAAGGTGGCGTCTTTTGATGAATATATTACAATACCTCAATCAGCATTGTACACATCTAGAGAAAATATTTTTATTATTTTTTTTTTATTTAGAGGATTTTCACAGCGATGTGCGTTTGGTTTTTTTTTTCGAAATAGCTCTGATATGTTTTTTTTTATTTTGTCGAATAATTCGATACTCTTTTTTTTTAAAAAAGAAAAAAATTGTCAAAAATAAAACTTCTAGAATTATTCACCGAAACTAAAACAAGTCAGAACGATTTCAAAAAAAATAAAAACTCAGAATTCATTTTAAAAACATTCTTACATTATTGAAATGAAAATTGAGTAAGATAAACTTTTAACAAATAATATTGACCTTTAATAATTATATTTCACATTATTTTTCTTTGTTAAAGAATAACAGTTATAATCGAAAGAAGAAAATAAAAACTTTTCATTTATTTCATAACAAAAAAACAACGATGAAACGTTTTTTATTCTCAATCAGAACATATTTTTTCTTCAAATTGTCACACACTCAATTATCACTTATTGACGTCTGAATTCTAACGTGAAATTAGAAATGGTTCGATCGGAAGGAAGTGTCAGGAGTGTGACATCCTTCAAACAAAGAAAAATTTTTGCTTTTACCCTGGAGAGTCGGAAATTTTTCGTGCATTTTCTTAGAAAAAAAAAAATCTCTACACCTTCCCAAAAAAATCGCGATAGCCTCTCAATATTAGATGTCTCAGGGTAGACCTATGTGAAATGTTTGTCCTAATTTTTTGTATATCATAAATAAAATGAATATTATTTTCTTGGAAAATTCCAAGTTGAATAAAAAGGAAAAATCTTTTATTACTTGATTGATTAAAAAAAAAAGAACAATAAATTGAACTCTTGTGCATATGGTGAAGTACTTGAATAATTGATAGATGTTTACTTAAGATAACTTTATTCTATGTAATAAAAAAATGATTGATAGAATAATTAGATTTTTAAAAAATTTCATGCCGTCTAATAGTATATTGATCATGAAAATATTTCAAATAGAGAAAATTTTCTAAACAAAATTTTCATATCTACGATACTAAACATAAATAGTACATTTTTCAATATTTTAAATAAATACAATTAGAAAGATAAAATAATCATTTCAATAATAATCAAAAATCATATTGTATGTCTGGTTGATTTTAATGAATAATGTTTATTTTGAAATTTATTATATGCAATGATACCTGAAGGACATTCTGATAGTACATCTTGTCTTTACTATTTTCTACATAATAATAACCACAATCGACAAAAGAAACAAACATAACTATGTAATTTAAAAGGTATTGGCTTCGCAAAGAAAAAAAGAACCTTCATTTTTATTTTGTTTTTTTTTCTCTTTTTTTTGCGTTCTGTCTTCATCTTTGTTTTTTCAACGTTGTTTGGTGAATAATAAGCAGTACGTAGTAGTGTAAGACAACGTGCACATTTGTAGAGAAAAAATTATGTTGAGTGTTACTGTCTTGATGGAGATCAACTAATCAATTTCTTTTCTTTTTTTTAGGTCGAATCAAATATTATTTTTATCTATAATCAATATGAATAAATGAAAAGACTTATTTGATATACATATAGAATTATCTACGTATTAAACATTTTTTTTAAATGGATCATTTACTAAGACGTGAACGACTTCGATTGGCTAAAGATTTAATTAATCAAAGAATAATAGAACAGTGAGTTATTAAATAAAATAAAATAAAAATGAATATATTATTATTTAAAGAGCAATTGATCTTGAAAGACAATGTGAAAATGATCTTCGACGAGAATTTCAATCAATTATTCATAATATACAGGTTAATCATTTAATAATTTCTTTATAGAAAATAAATTTTAAAGATTTTATCTTAAAATAGAGTTCAGAAAGACGACGACATCCTCGATCACATTCTCAAACAAGTGATTATAGAGATAATCGTCATCGACGTGATTCGACTGATCTTCATGAAGAACAAGTAAATAGATTTTTTTTCAAATATTTAATTGTTTTATTTATTTTTTTATTTAATAGTCAAGACATAGAAGTGGTAGTCTTTCTCAACATCGTCATCATCATCATCATCATCATCATCATCGCGTATGTTATCATTTCATTTCTATAAAGCTTTAAAATATTTACTTTTATGTAATTCTAGCAGAGTGACACAAGAGAATGTTCTTTAGTCACATTAACTTATCGTAGTTCAGCTACTAGTAGACATGGTGACGAGATAATGATTGTTGAAAATGGTAGAACAGTTTTTAAAGGTTGTTTAACACGTGGAGGTAATATTAATGATTTTTGAACATTTTTATTTTTATTTTTTATTAATTTGAAATATATTAATTTAAAGATCAATTAACATTTAAATCAAAACGTTATCGAGATAATCCAAAAATAAAATTAGATTTTTATATAAATGATATACTTGAAGATCAAATAATAGCTTGTTGTGAACATGGATTAATTAAAAAAGATGAAAATCATATTTTTCAAATTGAACATATTGTTGGATCAAAACCTTGTCAACAGTAAATTATTCAAATACAGAAAAAAAAATTGTTTTTTTCTTTTTTCTTAATAATTTCATTTTATTATTTAGTTGTCAATTAGAAAATTCTACAGTTTGTATATTGTTCTTCTTTTCAATTATTTAATTCAATTAAAAAATTAATTTAGAATTCATCAAGTCCATCTCCATCTCCTCCAAGTAAATAACAATCTCCTTATCTTTTTTTTTTTTTTATTATCATTTTACATAATTAATAACTTTTTCTTTAGTTTCACGAAGTACAAGATCATCAACTATAACAAATAATGAACAACGACCAATATCATTAACAACAAGACAACGATCATCTACATATGTCAGATTTGATTTATTTAAATAAAATATAATAAAATTTATATATTTAAATTAGACTACAAACAATTCTCATAAATCGAAACCACCAGTATCATTAAATAATCGAGGACGAACAAGTGAAAGTATTTTATTTTCCTTTTATTTTATGAAAATAAATTTAAGATTTAAAATAAAAAAATAGATCGAACATTAAAAATTGAAACAAGATTTAGTAATCAAATCAATCATCATCAATCAGAAGTATATTTTTGTTTTTTATTCTTATTTATATATTTAATTAAAAAATTATTTTTTTTGTTAGAAAAAAAGATCAACAACACTTTTTGTTCCACAATCAGATATTGAAAAAGCTTGTAAGTTTTATTTATAAGAAAAAAGAAAAAAAAATACATAAAACTTTTCAATTTTCATGAATTTTTATTTAGCAAGTGAAGGTTTTTCAGCTGATACTCTTGAATACTCTAATTCTCAACTCTTAACATGTATTCAATCAGAAAATAAACAACAAATTGAAAAAGATCCAAGAAATTTGTCACCGATATTATCATCTACTGATCAAGAATCGCCTCTACCACCCAAAAGAATTTATGGTTTGATTAAAATGATTGTTTTAATTAAAATATATAATATTATATTTCTTGTTAGGTCCTCCTCAATTATCAACAATGTTATCTGTTAGTGATGCTCTTGATTCACCATTTGAAACAATAACTGATAATCATGAAGAAACAATTGATAATTCAATAAGTCAAAAATCTGAATCATTGAATATAGAACAGCGAAAAGGTTTTAAAACTAATTTTTTTTTGAAACAAAAAAAAGAAGACATTAATTAAAATATCATATTTAGTTTTAGGTTCTCATTCGGATTCAGATAATGAAAATCGTCAAACAAATGATTTTGTTCAATTTCTTCGATCAATGTCATCGAATGTTGAAAATAATCAGAATGAACAAACAATTCAACAAATGCCGTCAATGAATATTAGTTCGAATCGTGATATGCCTACTGTTCATGATGAAACTCAATTATTACTTACACGACTTGGTATTATCAGACGTAAGTTTACACTTTAGTCAATATTCACATCTATTCAGAAAAATATAATCATATTGATACATTCACATCGCTGAAGAACATTCCCAATTGAATTGATATATTTTGGATATCGTTATTGTTATAATAATAGAGTTTTGGATACTATGACACCGTCATTTTTTGAATGTTTCTTTTGAAAAATATCATAAAACTTTTTTCTTTTATACACAATATAGATTTATATTTTGCAAGATACTTGAAACAATTCCTACCTCAATGAGAAGGTATATCCGAATGATGCCAGTAGATTGAACTTATATTTATATTATAATTAGTAAACGTCGAGAGACTAATATACTTGTGTATTAACTACTATCCATTTCAAAATAGAAGGCGAGTGATTGTGAGCCGAATAACTCGAGAATGCAAACAGCTAGAGAGCTGCAGTTCTCACCAATAGGAAGAGGACACGGGAACACATAAATCTATGGGAAAATTTCATTGGTCAGTAATTGATCAATAGAATGAAAGCCCGCTGACCATTTTAAACATAGCTTTTGAAACGCTTTTTTTGTTGAATTTGAAACTTCAATTAAATTGTTCGGTAGAAAAAATTGTTCTCTTTCGATCTACGCAAAGCCGAGCTCAATAGCTTGCTCCATTCCGCAGCTATAGGGATTTTTCTGAAACTCCCGAAATCAGTCAGGTGATCCTGAAGCAACCTTAAATGCATCACATTATAAGTAATCGACCATGCTGAATTCAGTGGTGGTGTTCGTTTTTTATGTCAAAGTAATCTGAAATCATTTTAGGAAAATTATCGAAAATCTAGTTTTTGCTGCTATTTGCATTATAGAATTGATATATCGAAAACCTCGATACAGTGATCTCAAATTACTTTGAAATAAGAAACGAATGTCACCACTGAACTCAGTATGATCGATTACCTATAGTGTGATGCATTTAAGATTGATTCAGGATCATCTAACTGATTTCGGGAGTCTTAGAAAAATGCCTATAGCTGCTGAATGGAACAAGCTGTCGAGCTCCGTCTTGCGTAAATCTAAAGAGAACAATTTTTTCTATCGAATGATTTAACTGAAGTTTCAAATTCAACAAAAAAAGCGTTTCAAAAGCTATGTTCAAAATGTTCAGCAGGCTTTCATCCTATTGTTCAATAATTGACCAATGAAATTTTTCCATAGATTTACGTGTGCCAGTGTACTTTTTCTAATGGTGAAAACCGCAGCTCTCTAGCTGTTTGCATTCTCGAGTTATTCGACTCACAATCACTCGCCTTCTATTTTGAAATGGATAGTAGAACCGTTCGTCTATCTACTATTAACATCATTGTATTAAATTTTACGCTAAAGACAAGGAGAGACTTGCCAAAAAACATATAAAGCTTTGTCAATAGATCGAATAAATGTTAGCAGAATGTTCTAAAAATTTTATTAAGAACACGTATATTTTTCTTGAGAATTGAATTTTTTTTCGGAACATAGTCTTATTTTGTTGTTTTTAAACGACAAGTTAAAGACAAATCTGACATCGATTATTTCTATTGATGAAGAAAGTTTCATATTTTTTTGCAAGTAACTTTTTCATAGAAAAAAATTCATTAAAATCTAGAATAATAGTCTATTCATTCGACTTATATATTCAAGTATATTAGTCTTAATATTTGCACTTTAGAGTAGAAAATATAAGGTTAATTGAGAAATGTCACTTGAAAATGTTTCCTGTTAAATAAAACTAGATAAAGTTAACTTTGTAAGAAATTGAATTACTTTATTGAAGATATATCAATTGACATTTTTTCTTTTTTTATTGAATATAGAACAACAAGTCGAACATAGTGAACAATCAATTGGTAATGCTCCTCGACAACAAGGAAATGTTGAATATTTTATTGTTGTTTATTTAAATTCAATATATCCTGATGACTCAATAATAAAAGATCTTCGAGGTGTTGTAAATTTCTTGAAAATTTTTGATGATATTGATGATTGTATTGCTTTTATCAATAGTATATCAAATGAAAAAATTCTATTTATTTTATCAGATATGTTTACTAATTCAATTCTTTTCAGAATTGAAAATCTTCAACAAATTTTAAGTATTTATATTTTATGTGAATTTAATCAAAATAAACAATATTTATTAAATCAAGAATTGAAAATAAAAGGTTTTTATACAAATATAAATGATATATATAAACAAATGTCAATTGATATAAATGAAATAACACGTGATTTAATAGCATATATGAATGTATCATTAAATTCTAATACACATGATCCAATGTTTATTTATTCACAATTAATAAATGAAATAATACTTGATAATGATGAAACAGAATTTGCTATGAAAGAATTAATCAATTTTGCTCGTCAAGAATATGATGGAAATCCAAAAGAATTATCTATTATTGATGAATTTGAAAATGATTATGATAAAACTCGTGCTATTTGGTGGTTTACAAGACAATGTTTTCTATCAAAAGTAAATTAAAAGAATTATAAATAAAATTTTTTTTAAATTTTATTTTATTTGTTTAGATGTTAAATAAAGCTCTTCGTATACCAGAAGCTGATGTTTTATTTAAACTTCGTTTATTTATTCAAGATTTATATCATCAAATTGAAAATGAATCGATAACAAATACATCTTTAAGTGTTTATTTAGGTCAAACAATTCATCAAAATGATTTAGATGATTTACAAAAAAGTTTAATAAATCATGGTTTACTTGTTTTTAGTCAATTTTTATTTGGTTCAACAGATTTATTAAAAGCTGTTGAAATAGCAAAAAATCTTCCAAATTTAACTGATGAATATATACCTGTTATACTTCATTTAAATATATCATCAAATATGAAATGTGCTAATAGAAGTTCATTACGTTATAATGTTGATGATAATAATGATGTTTTATTAAATATGGGTATTATTGGACGTTTAACAAAAATTGAAAAATCTTCTTTTAATCAATATGGAATAGCTTCAGTTTATTTAACATTAATTAAATGTGAAAATGAACATTCAATTCAACGTATACTTGAAATAAAACGAAATGAAATAAAAGGTGCTTCACCATTTGTTTCATTAATTAAATTAATGATGATAATGAATCAACAAATACGTGCTGAACAATTTGTTCAAATGATATTTAATGATGAAACATTAAAAACTGATCCAAATATTCAAGGTTCAATAGCTGCATCATGTCATATATTAGGTGCTGGTTATCATTCACGAGGTGATTATAAACGTGCTGTTGAATTATTTCATTTATCATTAGATACATTTCTTCGTTTTGTTCCATCTAATGCTGTACAATTATCTCCAACATATAATAATATTGGTTCAATGTATTTTCGTCAAGAAGAATATATAAAAGCAATTGAATATCATCAAAAAGCTCTTGATGTACAATTAAATTCACATAATCCAAATTTATTAGCTATTGCTTCATATTCAAATAATATTGGTGTTGTTTATTTAAAACAAGGAAAATATAATGATGCTGCAAAATCATTTGATCGTTCATTAAAAATTCTTCAACAATTAAATCAACCAAATAATTCTGATCTTGCATCAACATATGATAATTTAGGTGATGCTTATATTTTACAAGATAAATATGATTATGCTTTAACATATTATAGTAAAGCACTTGAAATTCAACATCTTATTCAACCACGTAATCCTCAAGCACTTGCTTCATTTAATAATAGTATTGGAAATGTTTATAATAAAATGCATCGTTATAATGATGCACTTATATATTTTAAACATGCTTTAGATATTCAAAAAGAATATTTACCATTAACACATCCATCATTTGCATCACTTTATAATAATATTGGTTCAATGTATTATCGACAAGAACAATATGCTGATGCATTACCATGTTATTTAAAAAGTCTTGAAATTGAATTAATGTCTTTACCAGATAATCATCCAACTATTGCTATTACACATTTTAATATTGCAACAACATATACAGGTTTAGGAAAATTTCAAGAAGCTATTGTATCAACTGAAAGATCAATTGAACAATTATTAAAAACTTTACCATCAGATCATCCGGAAATTATGGAAAATCGTTCTTATATTGAAACAATTAAACGGAAACAAATACTTAAAGGACTTTTTGATACTAATACAACAAATTGATAGTCAAATTTTCTTTTTTTCCCCTTCGTGTTCTTTCAATTTTTATTATGTGCTATTATTAGGTTTTTTCAATTTTTGGATAAACTATATTTCAATTATCTTTTCATTACAAAATATCAATCAATCAATCAATCAAATTCTAACAGAGCAACATACTCATAATTACCATTCGAAAAATTAAAATCCATCAAATCTATCTAAATCTATTTAGGACCATTCAAAAGTAGTGGCAAAGGTACTTTAGTTCCTTATAACAAGCTTAAAGAAACTTTTTCTCTACATGGACTGATAGTATAAACAACGATCTGTTTTTCTATGCTATTATATCATTCTTCAACTTATATCATAATAATAAAATTTTGATAACATCTGTTTTTTTTCTGTTATATGTGATGGTTACACTAATGTCTATTTAAAAAAAGGTCGAGTATATATTTTTTTGAATATCTTCTGATAGAAAAGAGATAGAAAGCTGTGGTTTTCATCGTTCGAAAAAGGAGATGAAGATGCATCGACTTGTACATTATACGATCTTTTTTTGACATGATTGTTTTTTAAGGTTTTAATCGATCTCTTTGAAAACAAATCTAACCTGTGAGATGTTTGCAACAAATTTTCAATTGTTATGTGCATATTCAAATCACCAATGGAAGATTTACAAAATTGCACAAGTCTCAGATGTTTAGAGTTAATCATTCAGAAACTATAGATATTGTAGTCGAACCTCGAAATGATTTTTCTAATCATTTCTGTGATAAAAGCTTTTTTTTCTACTTTCTATCAGAAGATATTCAAAAAATATACACTCAACCTTTTTTTAAATAGACATTAGTGTAACCATCACATATAACAGAAAAAAAACAGATGTTATCAAAATTTTATTATTATGATATAAGTAGAAGAATGATGTTATATCATAGAAAATTAGAACTTCGTTTTTACTATCAGTCCATATAGAGAAAGAATTTCTTTAAACTTATTATAAGAAACTAAAGTACCTTCGCCACTACTTTTTGATTGCCATAAGTATATAATTACAACTAACGAAAATACAATTATAAAAATTCGAATCAGATCATTTTTTACATACAACGTAGATAAAAACATAATTAAAACAAAAATGACTCTTATAAAGTAGTTCACTGACACTATGATAAAAAATAAAGATATGATACAACATCGAATAAAACAAAAAAGTTAAATTAATAATAGTTCAAAATCTTATTGAATGATAGATATGACCACAGGACTTCTTGTTCTATTACTGTAAAAGATTATCAATACTAACATGAATAATCATGACGAATTGATTGAAAAGATAATTCAAAGAATCTTACTGAACGATAGGAGATAGACATTAACCTCAATAAATATGCAACGATCATAATCAGATTTTCAATCAATAGTTAAAGATAGCTTTTTTTGGGAGTAATTCTTACTTGCTCTGTAGAGAGTACTTACGTATACGAGTACTCTAATAATATTATTTGATGTGATTTTTAAAAGTATTATACAAGCAAATTGACAAGTCAATGTTCTTCAACCATTAAGTTACCGTATGATATGAATCCAACATGTAAGAGAATGTGAATGTCTGTTTAGACGGATCTAAATTGAATGCTGAGGAAAGTTATCAACAAATTTATTCTACATGAATTCTATTGTCTGCGCTTGAGCATAGTGTGATGTTGTCATTCATTGATTCAATGAAGCAAAACAGATGTATGTAGATGCCGCAAACGAGACTATTGCGAGCTTTACACTCGGTATCATTTACAATGGACATCTACTATTGACGCCATTTACATGAACAAGCATACGACCAAGAGTAAATGTCAACAAAAGAATTAGATAACATCCATTGACTAACAGCAGATATGCTGAAGAAAGACCATTTTGCTGAAAATGTTGTTTCTTTAAAAAGAATCGAGCATAGAGAGTATAGAATCAATTACTATGAAGAACATTTTTAATGAGATGTTAGTTAACTAAGTATCTGTTGCAAGGAACGTTCTTGTCTTGGTAGGATAAACTGTAATGTTCTGAAAAGTAGAACGTACTATAATAGATTGATTATCAAATACATTTTCGATAATGTTACAATTAATAGTCAATAATAGAACATTAGTACTCATCATACTTACACAAAACTCCAGCTGACGCACAGACTATTCTTAGTATGCAATAACATATTATTAATTATTTTATGATATATGATCATAAAATATCCTTTGTAGTTAAAGGGAAGAGAAATAAAACTATGACAAATTGTTCTTGATATAATAATATTATTTATTTATTTCAATTCGATCATTATTACTTATATGATTAATAACTGTACATTTAAATGAAAAGCGAATAGTTTTTATTTCGTATATTCAATTATTTTTATTGAATAGATTTAAACACAGAAAAATTTCTTGTTCGATGTGAAATAAATTCGTAAACATAATATAGAAACTTTTGTTCTCATTTCCATATACATAATATGGAACAACTTACTGAATTCAAAAAGAATTTCGTACAAGTTTTTTTTGTTTTTAATCTTAATGAGAATAAAAATAAAACAAATAATAGTTATATATCTATGAAAAATATTTAACTTTTAGTCTTTTGACTTCTTAAGATTTTAGTTTCGTATTATACTCGCAAAGATGTTTCCAAACCAGAGATGTTCACGACGTCGCAGCAGTGACACAGTAGCTTTTCTTAGTTATCGCCATGGTACAACAGCGTCAGATTCTCAGCCGTAATGGACATCTATGCTCCAAACAGACAGCAAGAAATATACTAATTGAAGCAATTATTACAGTCTTTTGTGCATGTAGCACAATGCTTGTAATATATGATGATATTCCTGTTCGTTTGTGTTTTGTCTAAAGATAAACAAATAAAGAATTTCTCAACTATAAATTATTCTTAAATAAAGAAAAAAAAACAATATATTAATCACTTATCTATTTATGTCATATTCAAAATAGCAAAAAAGGTAATTAAACATTTCTTCCATATGTCTTTTTCATAAGATTAACCATTCGAATGTATTCTCTACATACAAACATGTACTTAACTATGCAAAATGTATGAACAACAAAATTTCCATATTCAATTTTATATACTTCAATAATAAAATGCGTACCTCAATATCCAAGTATTTAAATTTGAATTGAAATCAACTTTATAGTATTACATTACTAAGAGAGAGAGAGAGAGTGATTAGATTTTATATAATTTAAAAAGGATATTTGACTTCTCTTTAAATATTTCAAATAAAATTGTCTATGAAAGTTACATAGAGGAGAACTGAACGATTTTTAAACATCATCAAAAACGAATATAAAAATTTTCGATTAATACATATGTCGAACAAAAAAGAAGAAAGATAGTGCAAAATGTAGATCAAATCAAGTAGAGAATGATAATGAACAAATCTTGACGATTTAATTAAGCTCGATGTCATCTACAAAATCAATCTCGCTCGATCATTGGTAGGATCGAGTTTTATTATAGTAAACTTGTAACTTCATTAAACTACAGATTTTATTTAGAAAGATCAGTCAATAGAGAGAATTAGAGAAAAGTTATAACTGACAGACATTTCTGATCTACAAGTTTTTCGACTGTTTCTGTTACTATCACAATAAAAGTAATCATTAAAGATGACATTTGTTTTTGCACTGATACACTACAGTTCATAAAGTAGTCCTTAACACACTATTATTTAAATGAAAAAGAAACATTACAACGTTAGCTATTTAGAACTGTCTAGTTTTGAGTTTATGGTCACTTCCAAATTCATCGAAAAATTATCATAATTTTATCATGTCATTAACAATTACGAGAAAAAAATGCGTTTAACCACCCATTAACCTTGAGTGTGCATCCATCAGTTCTTATTACATGGCATGCGCGTGAACATTTGTTTGACTAGATAATTGAAACTCCAAATGAAATTAACATTAGCTTTTCATGCAGCACTAACCTAACAACTTACTACAAAAACGAAAGATCTATCACAAGAATTCTAACTATATCGTTAGGAACATCAACTACTACTGTCATAGCTATCATTATAGTCACATGGACTACTATTACAATGACCAGAACAATAGTTTCTTATTATTGGAACGACAATAATCATAGAAATAACAAAAACAAAATAATATCTATGACAACACAAACAACGATTCTTATTACTCTTCAACATCAACAAACGTCACAGATTCGACAATATCAATGTAAAAAAATCTAACAACTATAATGAGTTTCACTAAGGAAGAAAATACAACTTTTACATAAGACGATGAACACTACAAATCTACTATTGGAACAAAAACAATCATAGAATCAATAAAAAGTACAACAAGAAAAATCAAAATAATCGAAATAAGAACGCCTAAAAGAATTTAAACAAGAGAAACTGTAATTATGCCTATACTGACTTTATCAATAATAATGGAAAGCCTCTTAAATAATATTTAAAACTAAACTAATAATAGAATCAACAAAAAAATACCTACACAAATCGAAACCGTCATTGAAGAGACGACTCCCATCGTCATTCAATCAATAGCAAAAGCCGTTACAACAGAAATAAAGTTTGCAGATGAAGAAAAAAGTCAAACACATCAACGAATAATCACAACATCACCGTTGACTACTGCAAAAATTTCGATTAATACGAGTGAAACTGAATGTCAATCAAAACAAAGAATCTACGATGCTACTTTGCTTTGAGACTTCTTTTTAAAAAGGATAGGAATATATATATTTATGTTCAGATCTATTTTTATATTTATTACTATAATATCGAAAATGAAAATAAAATCATAAATAAATTCCAATGGGATATATATTTTAAAAAATATGTAGTAGTGGTTTTATATAGAAATACTCCTCGCGTCATTGACAGAGAATTGATGAATGATTACTTTTATTTTTCATCTTTCTATTCTCATTTACAATTGTGTAAATATTTTATTGAATCGAACCGCGTCTAA